AACTACAGAAAGAAGAAATCCATGACATCAACCAACAGACTTTTATCACAGGTAACTACAACAAAATGTGGTTCCCGGAAGTTCAAAAAGAAATTCAAAGCCATCCCAAACACACACGAAAAACAATTAAACAGAACTTTATTACAAATGAAAAAAGATAATTTCATTACTGACGATCTTTATTTTTATCTACGTAAAACTGATTCACGCACACCACAACTCTATGGCATTCCTAAACCACACAAATGTGATCATATATTTTCTGAACAAACTCTAATGAAGATTTGGGTATATTTCATGTTACAGATCTAGCATAATAAAAGTTAACCAACTGAGGGGATTGACTCAAAAAACGTTTGGCCCAAATTCTGGAAATAAGTTGAGAAAACCTTATTCTTTTAAGTTATTGGGCGACGTGGACACTGCCGAAAACCTACTTTATAAGAGCCACCTGAATTTGAACACTGGAGTTATTTAGAAGTGCATTTGTCTAGATTGTGCTTTCTATTGCACATAAGAATCCTTGGACACTTTAGGCATGTGGATGAAATGTGTCCCAAAATATGAAACTTATATACAGTTTTCAAATTCGTTCTGATGAATGAATTTTATGGGAACCGCTGCCGTGATTGTGTAGCAAGAGATGTGCAGGTCATCATTTATAATTCACCCCCATCTGTTTACTAGCATACCGTTTATGGTTGATTGTCTTACGAGATTAACTGTTGTGTGAGCTGACATTCTCAAGAAATAAATCACTCAGTATGAGATTGTTTTATTGTCATAATATGTTTAATGTGTAGTTTGGTCATTTCAAATTGTCATTAAAATCAAAGGAAAAATAATGTAGTTAAATAGAAATACTTCAATGTTGATGCTCTTGAATTAGTTTCGTACAACCTAACAAAAATACAACTAAGGTTATGATTAAAAACATATACAAATTTGATGCAGAAATACACATAAAAAGTTATGAAAATTAGATAATCAGCTGTAACTGTTAAATGAAGCATTCAAAATAAACAATTAATTTGGCATAAACAAGTGTGTACATGTGATTTTCAATTGAGCATTCAGTTTATGTACAACAGTGCTTCTACATTTAATTTTTTTATGGCAAGCAAATCTAAATATGGCTATAATTAGGGACTTAATAATTCATAGATGTACAGGATTAAGGCTGGAGATTAATAAGTTTCAAAACTTTAGAATATATAATAAACTCTGTGTTTGTGGAGTTTCGTGCAAAGCTACTAGAAGGCTATCTGCGCTAGCTGCCCCTACTTTCGAAAAGAGACTTAGAGGGCTGGTAGCTAGTCAGCACCACCAACTCTTGGGTTACTCTTTTATCAACGAAAAGTGGGACTGACTGTCACGTTATAATGCCTCCACGGCTGAAAGGGCGATCATGTCCAGTGACAGTACTTGAACCAATTACTCGCATGTTGCGAGTATATATATACATTTATATATACAGGGTAGCAACAATGAAACTCAAAAAAATCATACCTGACTTAACTGACATTTGGCACCATTATTTTGAAACAAATATAACTGCATAAAATTTTCTCTGCATAAAATTATTGGTCCAATGCACATGTCATTTAGAAATACCCCAACAGGTGGAAATAAAATAAATGTTTGCATCAAGTTTAGATGCTAGTACTGAATATAAAAATAGTTCTACTTGTATTTTCAAAATGAAAGGAACTGACAGTTTGCCAAAGTTCAAAATATACTAAAGACAATGATTAGTGTGAAAGACAGCACTGTCTTGTTTGAACATTTGTGATCTAGAAGTATAATTGTGGCTGAATAATTAGTTTTGTTAATAGTTTTATTAATACGAATCATAAAAACAATAAAATTATAGAGGAGGCAAAGTCCAATGCCCTTGATCATGTTGTAGTTTGACTGTTGTGTGCTACGAACAAATTTCTATGATTACAGAGTACTGAGAATATTTCATATAAAAGAAAAGATTGCCATTTATCAACTTACTGGAAACTGTTGCCCCTGTTAGTTCTCATTGTTACAAGTTATTTTATGACAATGAGAACAATTTAACAGGGGTTACAGTTTCCATTAGGCTGAAGTTGATAAATAAGGATCTTTTTTTATATGTAATATTCTCAGTACTCTGTAATCATAGAAATAAACTTTTGGCCATTAAGATAACTTACTGCTCAACAAAACTTAATATAAACTGTACAAGGTGTGATGGAAAAAAGAATATATATTAAAAACAACAACTAAGTCACATCACCATTATTAACCTTTATCAGAAAATCATCGGATAAGGGTCTCCTCAAAACGATTTTTCATCTTGTGCCGATCTAATGCAACTACCTATTTTAATAGATTCGACATTATTAACATGTATGGAATTTTTGAGTCTTAAATCATATTAGAGTAACCTAAATTAACTTTGGTGTGTGAATAATGTTATGAACTTACGACATTGTGCCTAAGTCATTATTCGATAATATACAGCAGACCAACTTTTTGCACATGTTACGATTTTCTTTTCTTTTTTTTTTCAGCAAAGGTAAAATTGAAAATAGAATTTGTGATGTAGAGGCCTAATACATTCCCTGATTGATCATTTCATACACTCTGCTGTGGACTGCAGTTTCGGTTATTTTAGGTTCATCAGTACAGTTTTGGTAAGCAAACCAAAGAAATACAGTTAAACCTCTTGTATATAATATATATATGTGATATTTGTGTGTGTATTTGATTTGTATATATACATATATATATATATATGTGTGTGTGTGTGTGTGTGTATAAATAATCAAAAACAGCATAGCTGTAAAAAAAGATGCGTCCAAAATGAGAAAATAGTGATGTTTAAAATTTTATGCAAACTATTCTGACTAAACATTCCAAAACTTTACAAAATTTGTAGACTACCACAAGAAATCACATGGGCTGCTGTTTCATGTTTAGATATGTTTAGAATAATTAGCATCAAGCACCTATTAAATTTGAAGACATTACAATTGCATGTGGTTTTCTTCAATACATCAGTAACTTTGAGATCATATTTTTCATTTGCTTTATTTTTGTTCACATATTTTTTAGCCAAGTTGTTTTTCAATAGATATCACGTTTCTTGTATAGTTTTATATAGTAGACAAGGTGATATTATAAAATATGCTATAGCTATATGCCAGAAACGAGGGCAATCACTTACCTGCGTTTTCATTAATTTGAAGTCTGATGTAAAGTGGTATGCAAAAATCGTGTGAAAATATCTACAAAATAGTAGTTTTAGGCTCATAACTTTTGTATTTCGCGTCCGATTTTTTATAAAATTAAAAACATTCCACTTTTGAGAACATCCTAATGTGTAGATAAATTTAAGTGCGATCGAAATATCAAATTTTTCTCCAGGCGAGCGAAAACATTTACGAGATTTTAGCGTAATTTTTGCTCCTATCTCCGAGAATACTCAATACAACCAAATACTATTACAACCAAATTTGTTGTCAGGCTAAAAGAACATGTATGCCAGTTATATATCAAATCTGAAAGAAATCGATTGAAGAAATTTTTTTTGTTGTTTGTTTCACTGGTTCGAAGATGAAGAAGGAGAAGAAGAAGAAAACAAAGAATTTCAGGCTAAGTTTGGCCTGCAGAGAAACGATAAGGGTTAAAGCGATTTCGTTGAAATTTGGTATGTGAGTTAAAGAAACCCGAGAAACCTATCATACTAAAAATTGGAGATTAACGAGGGGGTTTATACGGATGGTTAAAAAACCCAAGGTTTTTTTGTGTTTTTTTCTTGTTAATAACACACTGGATGTCGTTCGTTTGTTTTTTGGCTGCAGACACTGTAGCATGTGCCTTGATATCATCATCGTTATTTATACAAATTTTCTCTGGATTGCTTCTTGTGGCTGATATTCACTTCTTCAGTTTTAATTAGTTTATGAAGACATTGAAAGAAACATCTATAACAACACTACAGAAGAAGACAAAACGAAGTGATACAGAAAATCGAGTTTATTTTATTTTAATATCTCATCCACAAAGTATACAGATTTTAAACATTTAAAGTAAGTGCTCATATTCTTGAAAAAGACAATACCTCAGTTGCCATATTTCGAGATAAACCTTTAAACGTTACCATGACAAGAACCTGAAAAAATATATTAGTTTAGGCACAAGCAACTACCAATGTTCAGAAAGTACACAGTTCTTACAAGTATCCATGATACTGTTACGTCTCCGTTCGTTAGTTAATTTTCCGTAAATTTCGTTCCGACGAAACTTTAGCGACGCAAGTCCTTTCTTAAATAAAACTGGTTTATTCTTTCTGAATACAACTTTACAATACACTTAATTTTCACAGTCGCGCTATAACAAACGCTATAATTCACAACGAACGTCTCACGTGCTCAACTCGACAATACTCTGTCCGCAGTTCAATTACACATTGTTCCCGTCGCTTCTTGGCCGGTCTTATATATACATGACTACCCCAAATATAGAAATCTCCCGAGCTTCATGAACGTTCTAGAAGCGCGTGGCGTGTTACTAGGGTCACGTAACCTCCGCTGTCGTAACAATACATTACATTGACACCAAAAGGTTAGGGATAGTAAGTAGTAGGGCCCCAACTGTATATAAAATCAGAATCTCATTCAGACGTACTTCCAATTGTTATTATTTGCTATTAATGGTCAAGATTTTATAAGATAAATAAGTCGTAGTCTAGCAGAATCAGCACATGAACATAAATAGTACCCAAAATTGTGCTCCAAGTAGACCTGTTGTGAAACAAACAATTCAATGCTAAATGTTCAACCAGCATGACTAAGACATTATCCACTTCAAAATACTACTACTGCTTCCACCACAAATCATTCAAAAGAAAACAAGGTGAAAATAAACTAACACTTATTTTAAGATATTAACTTGCAAATATTTTCTATTTTCTGTAATTACATTAATTTTTACTTTAATCACTAAAAGGATATGTTTTGAACACTCGTTTATACGCAATTGCTGTAACTTGTGTGAAACGGATTTTAGGCCTATTACTATTAATAGTATTTTGTATTAATACTAGGCTAATAGTAACTTAACAATTTGTAAGGTTTGAAATGAAGAATAGATTAGATCTTTAAGTTATTAATGAATGCTTTCTTTTCCTCACTGAAGTTTCAAATTTTACTAATGAAATGAAAAATCCACAATTAATATTAGATTATTTTGACAATAAAGTTAGAAAAAAGGGCCTTTGCTTTCCAGGTAATAATAAAAAAAAACTTTATTTCAGCAAGTAGAACCAGAACTGTACAATAAAATACAATCTTGGACAAAATGTTCGCATTCATATTTTGTATCAAATAAGATCATTATTATTAATATGGAATACAAATACACTTAGCTCTGTTAAACCTGGAAAGGTGGGTTATATTATACATATACATATGTAATTTGTATAATGAGACAGGTTCTATGCACATCATGAACAATAAATTAGAACAGCAATTTTATCAGACACCTGTAGAAAAATTCCTTAAAAATGCCTCATTCAGCATTTCACCTATCATAACAAAACTTTACCAAAACGTATATAATGAGAAAATATAATATCAAATTATTATAAATATCGTTTGTAACCTCATATCAGTTCATATTAGACATTCAGTATTTGGTTGGTCCTCCTCGTACTCTAATAACCTCCACAAGGCAAAGTCGCATGCTGTTGATGAGGTTATTGATGTAATCCACCGTGATTTCATCCCAACTTGTCAATAGAAGGCGCTACAACTCAGCTACATTAGCCGATTTAGGGTCATGGGTAAAAAATGTTCGGCTCGGTTTTACCCAACAGTTCTCAGTGGGAGTACAATCTAAAGACTTTGTTGGCCATGGCAATCTAGTAACGTCTTCCTGGTCGAGATAATTCTGAACAATACACGCACTGTGGGCAGTGGTATTATCTTCCTGGAACACAAAGGTATTAACAAACCTTGCTCTTGCATATAACAGAAATATCGTCTCCATGTGATGCCTGTAGGAGGCGCAATTACTGTTTCTCTAGAGGATATGAATTGTAGTTTGTCCACCATGATGAACAGCTGCCAAGAGATGTACTGTACCACCTCCTCTGTGTTCCCTGAGGAAAGTACAGTCTTACTTCCTCTGTTCTCCAGGCAAACGACAAACACGAATCCTACCAAGCCAGAAACAGGACCCATCTGAAAAGATTACATGTCGCCAGTGTCCTAACTAGAAATTGGAATGCTGTCTTGCCCAAGTAACACAGTGACGGCAGTAAATTCTGGTTAATATCAGTTTGTAGATAGCCCTTCTTGCAAAATAACCTTATTTGGTCACTTTCCTATTCATCGTACTTCTTGATACCCTGGATTGAATGTGTTCATGCCATTCCTGTCATAAGGTGTTACAAGATTTATCTTAATCTTGACGTGTTAACCTGATTAAAACACCATCATCTCGAGCAGTAGTTTTTCGGGGTCTACCAGTAAACTTTCCTAGAACAAAGTTTCATGTAGTCCGATAGCGTTTCAGGATTCTGGAATACACTACCCTGGAGCTGCCCTACTGTTCTGGCAATATCCGTTTGTATCATACCATTTCTGGATAGTCAAAAAATTTGAGGCTCTATAACCACTGGCACATGACGAGCATGACCATATACCAAGTGCAAAGAAATTGTCTGGACAAAGCTTTGATTTGTTTCGAAAAAATATTATATCTAAAGCACAGCCCATTGTGTAGCTTTGTGCTTAATTATAAACAAAATAAAAACTAATCTAAAGCACACTATTTTATACAACACAGGTTTATATATGTGCTTTGACGAACAAATTCACTATACAGACAAGAATAGCAAGTATTTCCTTCTCTGTTACTACTTGGACATTTACTTAATAACTACTTCATACATGTACACAATAACATCAATATATAGAACATTATGCAAACATTTTGGCCAAGACTATACCATTATCTTAGTTATACTGAAATTAGGCCTAGAACACTGAATATTTAACGTTATATCGCTTTTAAAGTTTTTATTCATTATATTACTAGTCTACGTTCACTTACTCTTAAAGAAATTTTGTTTCTATCAAACATTTTTCTTGTTGGTAGAAGTTAGATAACTTTGGCTTGAATTGGGGAAACTTGGCCATGCTCTAAGTAAACAGCTCTGATCTTGCAGAAGTCACTTTTTTTCCAGATTTACAGTGAGATTGACTTTCTTCAGACTCTCAAAAACATCACATAGCACATATAAATGTTCTACCCATGTGTCACTGGAAGTCACAATATCATGAACATAAATTCCAACATCTGACAGATTGTTCAGGCGAAAAGTTTCTAGAGAATTTTTCATCCCAAAAGGCATTACATTGTACTGGTATAACCCATCAGGAGTAACAAGGGCAGATATTTCTTTTGATTGTCAGTTAGAGGGACAGCTCAGTATCCCTTTAGTAGGTCACACTTTGTGATATATCTGGTTTTTCCAATTTTATCAATACAATTTTCCATTCTTAAAATGGGGTAGGAGTCTGTCTTTGTCAAAGCATTCACTTTGCAAAAGTCTGTACAGAATCTAACTGAGCCATCAGATTTAGGGTCCAATACACAAGGTGAAGACCAATCACTTTTGCTGGGCTCTATAATGCCGTTTTCCAGCATGCAAGATATTTATTTACGCATTTTCTTGGCCTTGATTGGATTCACCCAATAAGGATGTTGTTCTACAGGAGAAGCGTCACCCATGTCTACATCATGTACAGTGATGTTGGTTTTACTAGGAACGTCTGGAAATATACATTTGTATTCATACAATAAACTAGCAAGCTGATCTTTCTCTTCAGGAGGCAAGTGATCGAGTTCGAATCGAGATTGGCCAGAATGTCAGAATTACTCAGTTTGATGTTGCATTCGTCCCCAATATTTCATATTTCAGCACACAAGGGAACACATTGGGATTCTCCTCAACTACAACATCATCCTTAGATGAAACAGTGATCAGCTCGTTAACTATTTTAGGCTCAGCAACAACTTTTACCCCAGCCAAATCGTTTAACAACATCAATGATACACCCTTAATTGGCAGAATAGGTCTAACCTCAACCACAACTGGTCCCGAAACTAGGTTTGATGCTAAATAAATATTATGAAGAGGAACATTAACACCCTCAATACCCTGAGCAATAACAGACTCACCAGTGGCAAAACTCGAACCTAACGGCAGTACACCTTCTAACAACAATGATTGAGTCGCCCTGGTATCATGTAGAGTACGTATGGGTATGGGATTGCCAGTGTCATTTGTCAAAGACACAGAACCAGCAGACACAAAAGGTCTAAATTCCTCCCTGATTACATCAGCCTTTATATCAATGGCCACATCAACAACATCGAGTGATCCGGTGAAACTATGTCCATATGTGGACACAAACGCACTGGGTGTTGCCTCCTTTTCTTTCTACTTTTTCAAACCCCAACAATTGGACATAACATGACCAGGTTTTTTACAGAAATGGTAGACAGGCCTTGATTGTTTTAAAAAAGTTTTATCCTGACTGTCAAAAGATTTCGAACTAGGGGAGCTGGATTTTTTTTGAAGAATCCTCAACTTTAGTGGATTGAAC